CCCTCCTTTTTTGTCTCTTTCCCCTGGACCAGGTCAACCAAAACAATAGGACACAAGCAGCACGTACTGAAATGACTTTTAATATCTCATGTTGCAGCAAAATTAAAAATATACAAAAAGTTTGTGGTGTACAAAAGAGTCTCAGTACAGAAGCCCCCAGCTTGAAGCCCACTCCCCGTCCTGGGGGAAGCGCAGAGGGGCAGGTGGAGATTGGGGGTCTGGGGATGGCACAGATGTAGTAAATACCAGAGGGTGGGGCCAGGGATAGGAAACAGAAGCGGATGGGATTAGGGAGGAAAGAGACAACATGGAGGGAAGAATCACTTGGAATTGTGCTGACAGAGGAAATCAGCCCCTCAGGCATGGCTAGTGATTCCTGGGCTCAGGGAGATGAGTGGAGATGGGGATCAGGGCCAGGGGTGTTTTGGTGGTACCCCCAAAGGTACTGGGTTCTGGTCCCACCCCACTGCCGACTTGCTGTGTAACCTTGGGCTGGCTGCCTCCCATCTCTGGGCCTCCCCTTTCAGTAAAATAGATATTAGATGACTAAACCACTGATTCTCAACTTGGGGTCCCAGACCTTGAGGATCCATGAAGGCGGAAATGGGCACCCATGAGTGCTCTTGAGAATTCTGCATTAAGCAAGAGAGTACAAACATTCCCCCACCGTCAAGCCCTAGAAGCTAACTGGAAGCCTCAGCAGCATTTATCTGCAATCAGAAGCTCAGCTTGAGTTAATTTAATGTGGGAAAATGAATTCTTCTTTAAGAAATGAGACTTGTTTGGGAGAAAAATTCCCCAAACCTTAGGGTCCTCAGGGAAGAAAATAATAAGAGATGGCTCTGGGAATCATTCCAATTTCTTCCAGCTATTTCATGATTGACTCAGAAAACTAGTGGGGTTGGGGACTGTGTCTCTATGAGGCCCCTCTGAATTTGGTGGTTTAGCCCAATGGGAATGGGCAGGAGGCGGGTCATAGTAGGTCTGATGGGACTGGGATTTGGGTGAGAAGGAGATGGAGGCATATCCTTTTCCCATCTAGTGCCTTTCTTACCCCTTCTTTGTCCCAGGGTACCCTCCACTCTGAGATTATTGCAGGTGCCCCTGGGCCCCCACCCCTTCAGCCTGGCCTGGGGGTGCTCTTACAGCAATTGTGCATAGAATAAAGGCCAGGGTTGCTGAGGAGAGGGCAGCCCCTTCATTGTGAGAAGGGAAGGGTGCAAGAAGCCAAGCACAAGGAGTGACCCCTCTGTCCCCTGGGGAGTTAACCTCCAGGAACCAGTCCATGCCTGGACTGTGCCTTCCTCTCCACTCCTGCAATTTCTGCCACACAGTTCTTCCTCCCCATGCCTCTACCCCTAGCAACCAAGAACCCAGAAATGTCCTAGCACTCAACCAGGGTGGCACATTGCAATCTCTTTTCTCCCCAGTCTGAGGTCCCAGAAGCCTCTCTGGTTGGGAAGGGGGACTCAGGCCCATCCCCGCTGCTGCCCATGTGGTATGGCACTCACTGAGTCCCTTCCATCAAGACAGCACAAAGCACTTTAATATAGAAATGACAGCCCCACCCCCATAAACCCTACCCCAGCTCAGACTGGGAGGGAGACAGGTAACAAAGGTGTCAGGGGCCAGCACAGGATGGGGTATTTGGGTCCTGGCTTTCAGCCTCATCCCGTACTTGGCTCTCACTTACCCAGTGCAGGTTCTCCCTCACCCGGAGCCCCAAGCTGAAGAACTCCAGCCCCTATAACCCTGGAGTGGGGAGGATGGTGTAGCCCTTGTCAGATGATGGTTCCCAAACCAGGGACCCTGTGGACTCCTAGATTTCCCTCCCTTTTCAGCTGAGAGGGCAGTGGAGTCAGTGCTCAGATGGCCAGGTTGTAGGGATTTAGGGGTGGACCAGCAGTCTTAGAAGGAGCCAGGACTTCCATCCTTTACTTCCCCAGAGGGGTTTCCAGATTCTATAGGACTCTCCAGAACCTTCTCAACATTTTGAACCAGACATCTCAAATTGGTGGCCTGTAGGCCAAATATGAGTGTTTAGTTTAGCCAACAAAGCATTTTAATTTCTGTGTCTATAGGCAGGGCACATACTCTCCTGTTTGCCAGAATCCCCACTACTCTCTATTGTCTGGTACCTCCACTTTTCTTATTTTCATTATCTTGAGCCATTTGAGTTTGCACCCCTTGCCCTAGAAATCCTTCCCCTCACTGCTGTCCGAGGCTTCTAGGAAACTTTAGTATTTAGCAGGAGACTGGGCTTCCAGGCAAGGTCTTCCCTGGATATTCCCAGTCTCTCCTGGCCCTTTTCTAGAGACCTGGATGTCCCTTAGGCCTCACCCTCCCTGTCCTCTGCTTTTCCCAACTCTCATGGGTGACACCCCTCTATGGTACACAGGTATAGGTGGCTGGGGGTAAGGCAGATTTTGGGAAGACACAAGGATCAGCAGATGAGGGGAGGGGACAAGCAAGCCTCCCTCAACGGGGAGCCCCCTGCTGGGGAGGGGTGGAGGTCTGCACTGTTCAGCTGGGGTGACAGTTACAAGGCACATGGTACATCAGTGTGTGGAGGTGCCATGAGGGGTGTATGGTGCTTGGAGAGGTTTGAGGAGCACAGTCAGCAGCCTGGGGTGGGGGGTGGTCAGTTCCAGGGTGGGAGCTTAAGAAAACAGAGAGACAGGAGTCTGCTGTAGACATGAGGACACTGGTTTCCTGGGGTTATGAGGACACTGGTTTCCTGGGGTTAGAAACACTGAAAACAGGGCCCGCCATGGTGGTACCCAGAGCATCCTGTTCTCTTCTGTTCCTGGCAAAATTAAGATGTACCCGACCACCTCTTATCCCCAGGAAAATGCTGTCACCAACTTCCTGTATGATCTTGAGCAAGTCCATGGCCCTCTCTGGGTCTCATATTCTCCTGTATCATGGATGTGGGGAGCAAGCGGCTTAGGGAACCGTCAGGGATACTCTGGGCAATAAGAACCCTGTAGGGATTCTGGAAAGGACTGAGAATCCAGACTGGAGTTGGGGACAGGGATGACGGGGGCTGAGGACTCAGGGGTCCTACGCTGGCAGGGAAGAGAAAGACCGGCTGAGGTAGCTTATGTTAAAGAAAGGAAAAGAAAACAACTGCTTGAATGGATGGGCCCTCTGTCATCTGACTCCTTTGTCCCAGTGAAACAAAGGGACTGAACAGCAGAGAAAGGGTCCTAGGTCTGGGAGGGATGGAGTGCTGAGCTCCTGGTAGGGGAGTCCTTTAGAGGGTAAGACTTTCCTGAGGGTGAGAACAGGAAAAGGTACCTGTAGCCTTCTCCTCCGGCTCTTGGACTGTGGCCATTTCTAGTGCTCAGATGTCCCTGCAGGCAGAGGCCCTGGAGGGAAGGTTGTGTGGGATTGAGAAGGTGGGGGGTTGGGGGTGGGGCTGTGGCTTCCCTGTGAGCCTCAGGCCATGCCAAGCACAGCCAATTCATTCCTGCTCCTGGCTTCTTTGGGCATCTCTGGGAGCTGTCAAGGACTCCTGGGTTCCAGCTAGGATATTTTTTACCTTTTTTGTCTAGGATGCTGGAGCAGCCAGATCGGTCATTCTAGGACCCTAGGGAGTAAACTAACTTGCCAAGGGTGGCCCTCATTCTGCCTCCCTGGGCCTCAGTTTCTTCATCTGTTAGATGGGTTAATAACAACTCTCTTGTAGAGATGTTTTGAGCAGGGGAGAGTATAAGAGAAATGACATAGGGTGAAAATTCCTAGTACAAAGTTGGCCCTGGAGAAATAATTAGCAGGGTCTGGTTCACATCCTCAAAGCTACTGTCACACAAAGGCTTTGGCCTGTGTGTACTTGGCCATGGAATTTGGCCAAATTTGGGCAAAGGATAAGGAAGGTGGATGAACCCACCAAAGCTGGCTTGGGTCAGCCTTTGGCTTCTCCCATCACCCATCATTCTTGAGGCCTGGTTCCTGGGCTCCTTAGGGATCTGGGAAGTAGAAGAAAGAAGGAAAAATATTCTTCATATGTTGGCAACAGGGATGCACACACCATCTTGGCCTGTGTGCCAGGTTGGGGGATGACTTGTATCATAAGGGTGATGTGTGCTTCTTTGTGTATATGTGTGCAGTCCTGCCGTCTCTGCCTTTGGGCTCATCCTACACCTTGAGTGTGGCCCTCTCCCTGCATCCTCAGCAAATTCACCACCACCCATCACCTTTTAATAGGATAGCCCAGAGTCTGAGACCTTGTGGGAGCAGCTGTTACTCTGGGTCTCAGTTTCCTATTTCTAACCGAGAGAGGCTGAACCAGGAAGGGCTAAGCACCCTCTAATTTGCATAGTCTAGGATTCTCGTGGCCCACCTCACCCCAGCCCAGGCCTGCATATGTCCTTAACATGCCCTGCTGTCCCCTCCCAGGGAATGCATCGTAGTTGGCTTGGGGCAGCATGGAGGAGGTTCCAAGCTCAGCCTAGAAGCTCTGTCCCCTTACCCCATGGAATTGCTGTCTTTGCCACTCCCCTACAGGACTGGCTGTCAAGGGTGGGGGAGGAGCCCTGGGTGAGTGGTCTGATGGGCACCCCAGGATGTTTGGGCCATGGGAATGGACCAAAGGTCCTGGAGAGTTGTCAGATCTGGGACAAAACATGTCAGTTTCCCAGATGCTGCCCCAGGGAGCCCCATCTGCAAGGTGGCTGAGAGCCAGGATTCATGTCATGTCCCCAGAGCTTTGCTTTTTTTTTTTCTAGCTAGGAATCAGTTGGCAGCTAAAATGTCTCAGGGGTTCTGTGGACAATTTTGTTTTAGAAAGAAGGCTATGTAGCAAGGTGGACAAAGGCCTAGAGCTCCCATAAGCTCCAGAAGTCCAGAATTGGAGCACCTATTCCTAGAATACTCCATTCACACTGAGTTCTAGAGCCCCTCATACCCCTGACTATGGCAGGAGGTAACATTCCCCCCAGCAGAGCAGCAGGGCTCTGTGTCCTCACCCTTCTTAACAGAATGTAGATCAGAGCCACTCCCTAGGACATTTTATCAGCTAAATGTTCTAGAACTTAATCTAGAACTAAGCATGTCTCTAGAACAGTTCCTCTGCTAAATGTGCTAGGACCTTATGTATACTTGAGCCCAGGCAGAGATCTTCCTAGACATTTTATCTGCTGTGTTCAAGACCTTTATCTAGAAGAAATGTTCCAGAAGCTCATCTAGAACAAGGAATGGCTCCTTGAAACATTTCACCAGAGGTGTCTGGAACTTCATCCATAACACAGCCCACAACAAAGGGTGACTCCTGAGGAGCTCCATGTCCATATTCTCCATGCTCTGGATGACAGGTCTCCTCTCCCAAGTCTTTCACTCATTCTTGCTCTGCTAGGCTAGACCCTGGGGCTCTTTCTTCTGTCAACCCCCAACACTTCCAGCCCCCACCCCAACACCCCATCCCACCCCAACTCACTCTTTCAACTCTACTCTCGCCCAGGCTCCAGGCCTCAGGCCTGGCAAGTACTGTGCTATCCCTGTCCACAGACGCTCCAACCCTACCCCACACCTTCCATGGCCTCTGCCATACTTCTCAGAGATTTCCTCCCACCACTGCCCACAGCCCCCTGAGGAGCACAAGGCCTAGGTAAAGACCCCAGACAGTGCCTCTTTCTCTGGCAGGTCCAGCAGAGGTGACATTTGGGCAACACCAGGCAGGGGAGAGGGCATTGGGCCCCATGAAAGCAGGACAGCTCATGAGGAGTGTAGCACCAGTTGGTTCCCTGGGCCCTGGTTCAGGGGACTCTAGTGAATGGGCCACAGGCCTGAAAATGGGACCTAGGGCTGGGGCCTCTAAAAGCCTGCCCCTCCCCTGCAAGAACACAATGGCAGGGCCACTCTACCCTTGGACCAATAGATCCACTCCCCCATCACCTGGTGGCCCTGATATTCTGGGCTCAACACTGTGGCTGATGTAACTTCAGCCAAGTCTGTCCCTTTTTAGGGGGCGAGACCATAGCCTACACTGTGGTCTCATACTCCAGCAGCTCCTGGGAGGTCCCCACACTCCGGTACTGCAACCGGGGAGTGGCAGGCGAGGAGTACTCCAGAGCCAGAATGGTCTTCCGGAGCCGGCGGTCAATAAAATGAGCATCCCATGCTGGGTACTTCTTCCGGGGCAAGTCAATCCGAATGACAGGCCCCTCTGTCCGCAAGGTACGGGCCACTGGTGTGGGGGGCAAGCCAGGCCGCACCTGGAAGACAGGTGGTGTGGGGGTTCCCGCTCGCTCACCCCCTATTGAGGCCCCATCCCGCTCTGTGCCTGTAGTCCTCGGCAGAGACCTTGGGGGACTTGTGACAGCATCAGGTGGTGGGCCACAGGACCCTGGGGACTCCGGGAAGATGCAGCCAGGTGCTTGGGGACCCAGCATGGGCCCATTGGGGTGCAGGAGGCAGTAATAGACACACATGAAGAATATGCCCAGTGCAAAGCTGGAAGCCACCACGCAGACCAGGATGAGTGAGTGGAAGTCAGTTGAGAAGTTGCGGCTGGAGTACCAGAAGCCGGTCAGAGCAGCATTCTCCAGCAGGACGATGCAGTAGTACAGGGCCATGCGGCGGCGGCTGCGGCCCTCCTTGACGTTGAACCAGCAGAAGATGTAGATGATGCCCACCACCATGTTGTAGATGATCTCCTCCCACTTGGACATGCAGAAGTCCGTCTCCCCTTGGATGACCCAGAAGGTCATGACGCACCAATGGGCCACAATGAAAATGCCAAAGTAGAGCTTGTAGACGCTGGCAAAGAGCGCGAAGGCCAGACTGCGGGCAGCAATGGTGAACAGGTGCCACAGCACCTGGGCCACTGCACCTTTGTAGGACAGAGGCCGCTTGTCATCCCTCGAGTCCCGCAGCACCTTCTGGTAGGAGGCCAACGTCCAGGCCAGGGACACAAGGGAGGCAGAGGTGGACAGGGCTGTGGAGACAGGGCAGGGCCAGGGTGGGCTGGGTTAGGGGTGGGTTTGGGTTGGAGTCTGAGGAGAAGGGGAGGGTTCTGGGTCAGGAGCTGGGTTTGAGGAGGTGTGAGGGAAGAGTCTGTGGATCAGCAGGACTGTGGGGAAGATCTAGGTGGGGGTTGTTCAAGAGCAATGATGAAGTGCCACGTGGGACTAGGTGTTTCTGCGGGGGTGGGAGCATAAAGGGAGATGGGAGACAAGTGGTTTGGTCTCCATAAAGGTCAAGTATAGGACCCTAGCATGGAGCTGTTAGGGTTCAGAGGTTTTGGGTGGGAGGGTAGGAAATTAGGGTCCAGGACTCTGGGTGTGGGAGAGGAGGTGAAGAGAGGGTCACAGGGCATGGAGGAGCCAGGAGGGGACCATTAGAAGATGTGGGCCCCCAGGATGAGGTAGGGTGGAGAGAGGAGACCCAAAGTGAGAAGAGTTGTGATTGGGACCCAGTATTCTGGGTAAGGAGACTGAGAATGGGGTGGGCAGGTCTGGGTGGGAAGAGCACAGGGTGCTTCAGGAAGACGGGACATTGAGGGGTAGGGGGTTGGCCTGTCTGTCTGTTATAGAAGGACAAGGGCCCTGGGGCCCCAGAGAAGGGATAGAATGATGGGCAAGTTCTCTGTAAATTGGTGGAGACTGGCAGGTCTGTGAGGCAGGGAGGTCCCCAAGAGATGGAGGCTGGGCTCAGGACAGAATGGAGAGGGCAGGGGATTGCCCAGAGGTTCTAAGTGGTGTTGATGAGGTGAAGGGCTTCTCTAGACTTGGCAGAAGTAGGGTCAGGTTGGCGGTGTCAGTGGGAAGGAAGGAGGACAAGAGGAGTGCCCGGGGGACCAGAGGAGCAGTGAGGGGGGGAGAGCCAGTCCGTCCTCACTCTGGGGGTTAAATGGGCCATGGAAGGGGACACGGGTCTGGGGTCTCGAGAGGTCTGGAGGGTGGTGAGGACAGAAGGGCGAGCTCCCTAAACCCTGACTGGGTAGGCCGTGAGGTGGGCGGTGCACAGGACACCCCCAGGGCGCGTGGAGCGGGGAGAAAAGGCAGGGGCTGCTGGCGGGGCAAAGAGGGGCCGCGCGGGGCTCACCGGGCAGCAGGTCGGGCGCGCCACCGCGGTGCACCAGCAGGCTGAGCTGCAGCACGAGCTGCGGCGCGCTGCGCAGGAAGGTCTCCAGGAGGCGCAGCATGCTCACGTCGGCGCTCTCGAACAGCATCTGCCAGTAGAAGTGGCGCCGCAACCGCTCCCCGCGCCAGCGGCTCTGCAGCCCCAGGTACAGGGCGCGCAGGTACCTGCGGGAGCGGGAGGGACCCGGTACTCAGCTCCCGCGCCTGGGTCCACTGGCCCGTCCCACCCGTCCGCAGCCACCTAGCAGGCGCAGGGGGCAAGTCATAGCCCTGTGCCTATTTCAAATGACCATATAGGAAGGATCGCCTCTTGGAGCTGTTGTCCAGGGGCACTGAATGGGCTCATTAGTTTAAAGTACTGGCACAAAGTAAGCCTTTAATGTAGCCCTATGATTATTCCTATAACCAGTTGGGGCCTGCTTTCTTCCAGGGTTATTGACACCTGAGAGTGCCCCGAACTTACACTAGCCCTCTTACCATTCCCCACTTTATAGAAGAGCAAACTGAGACTCAGAGAGGTAGGTCATTTGTCCAAGGTCACACAGCCTGGAACCAGGATTCAAACCCAATCAGTCTGGCCTCAGGGCCCACACTCTAACCATTACACGCATTGCCTCATAGGTGTACTGTAAGCCATGGAAAGTTTTGCTTACATAGATTCCTTAAGGAACAGTCCCTTGTGTCTGGTGACAGTCTGAGTTCAGTTGTCATCAGCAGCTTCCTGGCCTGTCCCCACCCTCACCTCTGAGTGTCCGGTTCTCAACATAGGGTGCAAGGAAGTTGCTCACAGACAGTTTCTCTTGGCACTTGAGACTTTGCTGCTTCCTCTCGTGACACGTCTCTAAACAGACTTCGTGACTCTTCCTGGCTACTCAGCACAGATCATAGTTTCCAGAGCTGTCAATGTCTCCCTCATCACTGAGCTTTTTTTTTGCACATCCAGTTCCCTCTGCCTGGAATACCCTGTCATGTCCCTAACCACACCCCGGCCCCAAACCTGGATAACTCTTTCTTTTCTTTTCTTTCTTTCTTTCCTTTTTTTTTTTTTTTTGAGTCTCATTAGTCATCCTTGGTAGAGTGCCATGGCGTCACAGCTCACAGCAACCTCAAACTCTTGAGCTTAAGTAATTCTCTTGCCTCAGCCTCCCAAGTAGCTGGAACTACAGGCGCCCATCACAACACCCAGCTATTTTTTGTTGTAGTTGTCATTGTTGTTTGGTTGGCCCCAGGCTGGGTTCGAACCTGCCACCCTTGGTATATGTGGCTGGTGCAGTGCCGAGCCAAGGCTCAGCTTTTCAACACGATTTCCTCCAGAAAGCTTCTGCTGACCACTCTTCACGTGGGATAAGGCCTCTCCCAGGCTTTCCTCTAACCTAGTACCTGTCACAGTGGATTGTAACTGCCTGATAATGCGTGCATCTCAGGACTGTGAGCTGACTGTGAGCACCCTGAGAATGACGACGTTGGCTGGCTAACTGCTGTATCTTTAGTTCTTACAGTACAAAGTAAGTGCTCAATCCACGTGCACTGAATGAATGAAGGTGTGCATGATTGCAGATTTGCTGACCTGAATGAACTCAGTTAGCCCTACGGGGGTGTGGAAGGGACTCTGAAAGTCCTGAGTTCAGTTCCTGATTTTGCTTGTAATTTACTGTATGATCTTGACCAAGACCCTCCCTGATCCCAGTTAATCCCTCCCAAAATTCCTGTGAGGATTACATGGATGAAAAGAAGTGCAGTGCCCATGTAGGATATGAAGGGACCTGTCCACACAGATGTCTCAGAACCCTCATAGAGGGCTCCTCCAAAAGTGGCTTCCCCAGGAAACCAGGGGGGACAATCCCAACACAGATTCAATGAACCTACTGCCTGAAACTGAAATTGGAGACTCAGGCACTTCGGGGTCTACTTCTAGATGTGAAGTTGGCATTTCCAGGACATTATTTGGGAACCAGGGGACCAACTCTGTTCACTGTGTGCCATCAGCCCAAGGGAGGAATCACGGTGCTCCCTGGAATCTGGGACCAGCTGATACTGAGAGTTTCCTAAATAAGTACCCTGGTCTTAGCAGCTGTGTGGCTTCTCTGGGCCTCAGTTTCTCCATCTGCCAATGAAAGGGATGGACTTGATGACTCTGGAGATCCTTTCAGAACTAATATTCTCGGACCTAGACACCCCTCAAAATGTGACCAGGAACATCCCATTTAGGGCCCTCCTCCTCATCCCTGGGTCATTCTGGCACCAACTGATGGTGGGTGTAGACATACTCTCAATATGATACATTATAGGATGGGCACCCAGGGTGGGAAGAGGGCGGTTCCCTCAGAGGCTGACTTGGGAAATCAAGGCCCCTCAGTCCAATTCTTCCACGCCATGCTGGAATTCCTTTGGCAGTTTCCATGCTTCTACATCTACAGCTCCTGTACTTCCTGAGATAGGGAGTCCCTGCCTCTGGAGGCAGGGTCCTTGGCTGCTGAGCAGCTCCAGAGCTGGATTGTGTTTCTTCTGATGAGCAGAAACTTGTCTTCCTGTATCTTCCATTCTCAGGCCCCTGCCTACCTGACATAAAAGGGTCCCTGAAGCCACAATTATTCATTCATGGAGCAGGTGTATTTTGACCACATGCTCTATGCCAGGCTTTGTGCCCTTGTGTATTTTGCAGTTCCATGGGAGAGAAACAAGGTATGAGGTGAAATAGGTGCTGCAAGACGCTTTGGAACCCAGAGGAGAAAAGGGCAATTTTGCCTGGGGGAGGGCTTGGGAGGACTTTGTGAAGGAAGAGCCTTTGATCTCAGTTTTAAAGCATAGGTTGGCACTTGGACGCAGATAGGAGGTGGAGGGCATTCCACGTGGAACAACCAGTTGATGCAAAGGGACAGTGGCTTGAGAAAACATGGCCTTTTAGGGGAATGGCCAGTGGTTTTTCAGACCTGGATATAGGGGTTTTAATGGGCAGGGGCATAAGCAGACAAGAATTGTGAAGGACGCCAACTTCTGGACTGAACAGTTCAGATTTTATTCTAAATCTGAATTCTGTCCCAGAATCAGGGGTGATGTGATCAGCTCAGTAGCTTAGAAAGCATGCTCTGGAGGCTGGCTTGGAGGACAGCCAGGAGAGGATGGGGTTTGGTCCAGGCCTACATGACAGGGCTGAGCTAAGGCAGGGGATAGAGGAGGGACAGAGAGTGGGGATAGAGGAGGGGCAGAGAGCAGATCTAGAGGTGGCCAGAAGTAAGGGGATAGGGGAGAGACCAGGATGGCCCCAGAGCTTCTGAGGGACCTAGAACACAGGCCACCTTTCCCAGCTTTCTTCACCCCTCCACCCCACTTCCTTCCCCATTCTCTCAGCTCTGGCTTTGAATAGGAAGGAGAGACCAGCTGGTCCAAAGAGAAGGGGCCTGGGGAGTTGGGGGAGGGTGACACCCTGGAAGTTTCTCTCAGGCTGGAAGACCATCTGTTTCCGGGCCCGGGTCAGCATGAGGGAGGCCCCAGTCCCTGGCCAGCATCCATCAGCACCTGACAGGCTGCCTGCCCACCTCCCCGCCCACTCCTGCCCCTTCTTCTGCCAGCTCCCAGCCAACCCTAGACAAAGGGCTCACACAGCCCAGGGCCCTGTGAGCAGGAGCAGCAATGGAGAAGGGAAGGGGGAGGCCTTTGAGTCCTAGGAATGTGGGGTCAGTGGGGAGTGTGGAAAGACCACACTGCAATCTGGGGATGAAAGGCTTGGGTTTTGCCTCACTCTGTCCCTTTTGGCAACCGGACCAAAACTGTGGCTGTTCTTTCCAGCCGGCATGAATGCTCGCTGCCAAAGGCCTGTGAGATTTTCATGGACCTAGGAAAACATTTGAAGCCTGAAAAAAAAAAAAACAAAAATTGGCTCCAAAACACAGGGAGAAACTACAGAATCAAAATTAATAAATGTTTAATTAAATGTCTGCAAAACAGAACATGATGTCAGCCAGTCAACTGCAATTTGGCTTTTATCTGGTTATATATAATTTACATTTGATGTTTGATGTGGCTGCATTTTAATATGTTTGAGAGATATGGGGCCCACAGAAGTCTTAAACCAGTCCTGCCCAGGACACGCAACCTAATTTTCCTGGCCCTCAGTTTCTCCTTCTCTAAAGTGGGGCTGGCATTTGCCATCTACCTACGTCATAGCCACTGGGGTAAGGATCAGAAAGATGAGATGGCTGGGGTTTGCTTCTTAGCTAGCCCTGACCTGGACTCGCTGTGTGGTCCTGGGTAGTTTCTCTGCTTCTCTGAGCCTGATTTTTCTCCTTATTGTTAGTATTAAATGAGGCAATGGATCTTAAAATGATCTATAAACTGCAGGGGAATGTGTTCATGGAAGGGAGCACACACCCTGGGCAGAGGCCTCTGGTTCCTCCTGACCACTGAGCAACCTCTCTTAAAACCTCCTCCAGGAAGCCCATCCTATCCCACATCCCACACCATTTGAACGGAAGCTGAGAGAAGCTGGTCTTCACTCAAGAGGACACCGCCGCTTGGGAATCTGACTTGGGGATGGTTGTCTATCTCCTCTTCTTCCAAAATGCACCCCCAGGCTATCCACATTCACTACCACTAGCTGGTACAGGCCACAGTCTTCTGCCTACTGGCCATGTCAGCCTTCTGTGTGGGCTGCCTGCACCCACGGCCACTTCCCTACAGTCCACTCTCCACATGGCAACCAGCGGGGTGTTTCTAAAACCTGTCAGATCATGTCATTTTCCTTTGCAAAACCTTCCTGGGGCCTCCCTTCACTCTTGGAATAAAACCCAAGCTTCTCCCCTTGGCTCACAGGCCCAAAACCATCTGGCCCTGTCTGTTTCTCTCACCTCATCTCAAACCACTGTCCCTTTTGTCCCCAACACTCCAGATGCACTGACTCAGGACCTTTGCACTTGCTACCTGCTCTGCCGGGAACATCCCTTTGCCAGATCTCCCTGTAGTTGGCTCTTCATCCGCTCACACGTCACCTTCTTCGAAAGGCCTCCCACGCCACCCAGGCCGTGTTGGCAGCTTTGCCCTTGCCAAATCACTCTAGTCTACCATACCATCCTGTCTTATCTTCTTAACATGCATGATAAAATAACCTTATTTCTTTATTTATATATTTCTTTCCTTTATTTCTGCTTTTTCTTCTTTTTTTTTTTGAG